TCATTACTGAAAAATATTTTATTTTGACTGGCTATAGCTTTCTGTATTTCCCCTGTTTTTCTTTCAGCACTTTAAAGATACCCATTCATTGTCTCTGACTTGCATAAATTCTGACAACAAATTGTTGGAGATTCTTAACTTGGCCCTCTGTATGTAATGTCTCTATTTTTCTCTGGCTTCCTTCAAGACTGTCTATATTTCTTTGTGTTTCAGCAGTTTGAATATGGTGTATGTATGTGTATTCCACAGCATTTCAATGCCCTGTTCTTCTTCCCCCTACTATTTTTTCTCTTTATTTTCAGTTTAGGTAATTTCTGTTGACCTGTCTTCAAGTTCACTGATTCTTTCCTCAGCTATACCGACTCAATTAATGAATCAAAAACATTCTTCATTTCTGTACCATTTATTTCTTTCTAGCACTTCCATTTAACTCTCATATTTTCTACTCTTTGTTGAAACTACTACTTTATTCATCTACTTTTTAATACAGTTGCTAAGACATAATCACAATTATTTTCAATTTGCTCTCTTACATTAATGACATCTAGGTCATCGCTGAGTTTTCTATTAATTATTTTCCCTTGAAAGTTAATTGCTCTTTTTATTTATTTTTATTGTAGTCTCAGAAATCTTTGATTCGTTTCTAATCATAGTATGTGGACAGTATAAGCTTTGGTAAATAGTGTTTTTGCCTGGTAATAGGCATGCCTCCTCTTCTGCTAGCAATTAGTGTGACTGACTGAATCAGTCAAATCAGGAATCTGACTGGGTATGCATTTTGTTGCTGCTATTGTTACCTTCTTTGCACCACAGGCTTCAAATTCCTCTGGTAGGTTACTGGAGGGTTTGTCATGATATTCCTCTCCATTTTCAGCGGCGGGGCTTCTCTTTGTGTCCATGCCTCGGGGATGGTCTCTGTGTTGTCACCCTTCTCCTCCCAACTGTTACTGTTTGTCTCTGCCAGCTAGGGGAATGATGTGGGGAAAAGGGGCATTCTCTGCTGTTCTAGTTAATCCTAAATCTAAGGCAGTGCCTGTATTCCCCTAGGTCTTAGGGGAAAAGTTATATGATTTATCTTGCCTCTCTCCCAGTGATAGGAGATATCTTAATGATCTGATCTGGGTCTCCTGTCCCTCTCCCAAGGGTGGAGGGTTTTTCTTTTTCCTTACTCCATAGCAGTAGATCTTTACCTGTGTTCTGGGGTAACAGTGCTTGAAGCCCTTCTTCTGGCAGTTTAATTCTTTTGTCTCTTAGGAAACACGGGAAAAGGCAGAGCTTTAATCTTTTCCTATAGTGGCAGCAGCTCCTCTTCTCCACACCTGCTCCACAAAGGACTGAATACTTTCATCTTCCAACCTGTCTATAGTCCTTCTCATAAGAAACTAGTGAAGTCCATAGAGAAAAAGCCTGTAAGAGAGTGTTCATTTCTTTTTCCTGTGGTTTCCAGGTCTTCTGTGTTCTCTCATTAGCCCACACTTAGCCTTTATCAATTTGTTTTTAAAAATGACCTGACTTTTTAATACCTACTTCTACGGTCTCTGGTATGCCTTCCCTCAGTGCTCTGCCAAAGATATGCCAGTTCCTGAATTCCATCTGTCCTTGAAGA